GGTCGATGCCGGAGCCATCCTGGATTGTCCTGGAGTGCGTGGGCCGTTTTGGGGCATTCTTGGGCAATATCGCATCCTCTTGGGCTGTCTGAAATTCCGGACTCTCTTGGCTCGTCTTGGGGCCCTCTCGGCCCGCCGGAGCCCGCTGCAGAAGGGGGTGGGTCCGCAAAGGACCGCCGGCAGAGTGGGGCCCCCTTCAGAAGGACTTTCAGGGAAGTTTTGGCCAGGTTCTGTGTGCAGGTTCTGTGTGACTGAGGCCACACACTGTGCACAGCACTCTGGCAGAGAGGTCTCGCACGGCCCACACCGCAGGCGCGAGCGGCCGGATCTGAAGGGCTTCGCCCACTGCCGCTTGCCCCCCCTACATGGGTGTGATTAAAGTTTCGCTCAATGTTGCAACTGCGGTGCTAATGTTATGTCGGGCCTGTCCCTCTACACGGGGAATATTCAAAAACACGAATATTAGCTTGGCGAAGGACCCAACCATACGCAGTTGTGAATACCGCAATTGTGAACACCTTCGCCCGCGCTCCTGATGTGGCCACGGCTCCCCGCCAGAGCCCGACATGCTCACGGACACGTTCGTGGCCGTCTTCGCCGGCGCCGACGACGACGATGACGGCGTCCCCCTGACCGAGGAGCAGAAGCAGGAAAGGCTTCTGAGAGCCATGAGGAAGGCTGCAATTGGCGCCTTCGGTGGAGCTCATATGGGGCCACGATCCTCGTAAAGGGTGTGCCGAACTGGCCCGAGGCTGCCATACGAACCCTGCCACTGGCGCCTTCGGTGGAGCTCCCATATGGGGCCACGATCCTCGTGAGGGGTGTGCCGAAATGGCCCGAGGCCGCCATGCGAACCCTGCCGCTAGCGCCTTCGGCGGAGCTCCTACGGGCCACGATCCTCGTGAGGGGTGTGCCTAAATCGCCCGCGGCCGCCATGCGAACCCTGCCACCGGGGCCTGCGCCGCGACACCGGGGACTCCATCAGGCCCGGCGGCAGCGCGGCGGGACGGCTCCGCCCAGGCCACGCTGACCAACCTCGAGCCCCAACCCCAGGGGAAGGAACGCCCCCGGGCAATGGCTTGAGCCAGGCTACGGACCAGTTGGGAGACGCGACGCGTCAAGAAAGTCGGGGCCAGTTTAGTGGGATCCAGCTGTCTGTCAGTTTTATGTGGACGCGAAACATTGCCACATAGTTTCCACCGCATAGCTTCCACCATACATTTGCCACCACATAGCTCACACCGCGTAGCTTCCACCACAGAACTTCCACCACAAAGCCTCCACCATATAGTTTCCACTACATAGCTTCCACCACCAGAGTACGACAACTTACTGTGTGGGCCCACGCTGGCAAACATCACAACAGTGCAACTAGGTCAAGAAAACCTACAACTACAGCATTGGGAAGTGGAAGTGCTGCAGGGAAGAAGGCATGTCTGGGCTACGCAGCCTGTTGGTCCGGAAGGCGCTGGCATGTTCGCTAGAAGGATGCAACGCAGCTCCTTTTCAAAACGAGGCTCTCGCCTGAATGGCAGACTCCAAGGGTGATGGCCCTTTCAAAGAGGCGCATCTTGCAGTGAGAAAGATGGCCCGTGGGGACTCATGAGGAGTGGACTTGGCACGGGAGGGTGCATTGCAGCATCGTAGATGCATCTTGGGTTCATTTTAGTCATCCTTCCATTTCCGCCCTCCCTCGTTCTCCCGCCTGCGGCCCTTCTGATGAAGAGCGGGCCCCAGCAGTCCGTGGGAGCTGCAAGGCGAAAGGGGGGGGGCGGGATGGCGACCCCGCCGTCGCTTCAGACCTGACTGCTTGGCGGGGGTCCAAGGCGCTTCTGCGGGAGCTTACAAGCCTAACCTCCAGCGCCGCTTGAAGATCCGCATGGCCTGAGAGCTCTCTGGCCCTTCCGCGGCCGTTTCCTTCTCCCTTCTTGCCCTTCCTCTGTTTCCGCCGTCATCAGCTACGGACGCGTCCCGCCGCTGGCCAGACCGCTTGTTGGATCCAACTCCCCGCAGACCGAAGCGCTTCTGCGATTTCTCCGAGCTGACTTCCGATGCGACTACGGGAGGAGGCGTCCAGGGGCTGCTCCCCACAGTACGACGCGCCGGCGTCCACCCAGAAGCGTGCAGCACGCCGGCGTCCACCCAGCCGTGTTGCGACCCCAGTGTTGTTCTTCACGTCCGCTTCCCAACTCGCACTGAATGCCGAGTCCATCCAATCCCCGTCTTGCAAGATTGGCTGCGCCCTGCTCTGATTGGTCGCGAAGGCGCCGCAAGAAAAACGTATTGCTCCTCCCCACGGGGAGGAGCAACAGCACAGTCAACCCGCATAGTTCAGGATGAGCAACTTTCCAAGGTGGCCCTTGCATCCTTCCCCTTCGGCCCATCCTTGGCCGCTTTCGCTGGCCGCGCCCCGCTCGCGAAGTGGTGGCATGGCCTTCCATCCCCCTTGCATCCTTCTCGTGCGTCCTGATTCTACAGGCTTACTATTTATGGATTGTGACATATGTGTTCCTCCCCTTCGGGGCTTCCTAGGGCGCCCCCGTCGCCACGGCTGGGTGCGCCTCGGAATCCCGTTCAAGATGCGTTCCAGGAGAGGACGAGGTTTCGACCTTGAGGTCATCTCCAGTACGGCCACGATGGGAGGGGCATCCAGGGATTGCGTAGCTCGCCTCCTTTTCCTCCTCCTCCTCCTCCTTCTCCGTCTCCTCCTCCGCCTCCTCCTCCTCCTCCTCCTCTTCCTCCTCCTCCCACATTCTCCTCCTCCCACCTCCTCATCCTTTCTCCTACTGGGACTAGGCGGCTGCCTGACTGCGATGGGGCCATGAACACTGGTCACCGTAGCACAGCAAGGTGAGGAGTAGGAGGAGGACGTGGAGGACCATGGAGGAAAAGCGGCTGACGGATAATTGAAAAGGAATGAAGAGAAGATACGAAGGATGCAAAAGATAAGGATGCTACCCCCTCCTTTTCTTCCTCCTCTTCTTATTCCTCCTTCTCCTCATCCTCCTTCCCATCATCATCATCATCATCATCATCATCATCATCATCATCATCATCATCATCACCCTCATCCTCATCCTCATCCTCATCCTTATCCTTATCCTCAGCAGCATTATCATCAGCATCATCATCCTTTTCATCTTCTTCATCATTATCATAATCATCATCGTCACCATCGTCATCATCATCAGAAGCATCATCATCATCAGAAGCAGCAGCAGAAGCCGCAGCAGCATCGTCAGCAGCATCATCATTATCATCATAATCAATATCATCATCGGCGTCATCATCAGCAGCAGCATCGTCGCCGTCATCGTCGTCGTCATCGTCATGATCAGCATCATCATCATAATCATCATCATCATCATCATCATCAGCAGCAGCATCAGCAGCAGCAGCAGATTCATCATCATCCCTACTCCTGCTCCTGCTCCTCCTCCTCCTCATCATCATCCTCCTTGGGGCCACCCCATATCTTGGCGTGCAGTTCGGCCCCGCTGCAGATCTCGAACTCCAGTGGTCCCAGGCAGGTGCGAAATGGTGGCAGCGTGCCATCGAACTCCCATCCTCCCGTGCTGCTCCTCAGCTTCTCCCAGTCCAGTATAACATGTACGCTCTTAGCACCCTGGGTTACTTGGCCCAGTTGTTTGTCCCATGTCGCCCCGAGAGGTCACGAGAGAGGCGCTGGCACTCCACAAGTTGTTTCGCCTCCCTCCGAATTCCTTCACTCTCCAGGACGTGCACTCGCTTGGCCAGTGGTTCGGAACAGCCCCGAGGTCGGTGCTGGCACTCAGCGTCGCGTCCGCCTGGAGGACGAATGCCCACACAGTCGCTGACTGGGCGCCAGCGTTCGACGCGCTCCAGCAGGCTGCAGAACTTGCCTGCGGTACGCCCGCGCTCTCTGCCCCACGGTGGGCCAGTGACCAGTGGTGTGCGCCGTGCTGGAGCCGCACCACTGCTACCGTACAGCTGTTCCGCTCTCTCCTTGTCTCCACTCCCTCCGCGGCCCTTCGTCCTCGTCACGGGTCGTTCCGCTTCTCTTATCCCCTTTCGCTCAGGGTGCCGCTGAAGAGGGAGGCAAGCCGAAGCTGTAGCGTGTGATCGGCTCTTCAGTTTCGATTGCGCTGTACCCCGACCGATTTCACCAGACTATCGGCCGCCGCCTCGATGCCTGGTCGTTCCCTCGCCCTCCCAACCTAGCGGAACCATGGTCTCTACTGAAAGCATGTCTCTGGCAGGTATGGCCGAGCTGGAGATGGGCGGTTCTAACAACGTTCTCAGGAGGCCGGACTACCAGCTGCAGAATGCACGTCTCGCCGCATGCCCTAGATCGCATTTTTGGGTGCGGGGGCCGAGACGAAATCTCACACTACCTCCAGTGCGTGCCGCTCCGGCACCACGTCGCCCCCAGCTGATCGCGGCTCGTCTTTCTTGTGGACCTCTTGTTCTGGCTTGGCCTTGGGAGAGTTCCGCGGAGTACGGCACGGAGGATCACGAAATCTCTCGCCTCCCGGCTGTTGAGGCCATGGCATTCGCTTTTCACATTTACCACAAATCGAAAGCTATGGTGCCTCTCTCGTCACACCAAACATGCGATTTCGCCGCGCGGGTCACAGGTGCCGCACGGCTTGCACTCCGGGCGCAGGTGGCGCCAGGACTCGCCCTCGGGATCCGTCGGCTCTTCCTCCTCCTCCTCCTCCTCCTCCTCCTCCTCCTCCTCCTCCTCCTCCTCCTCCTCCTCCTCCATCTCCTCCTCCATCTCCTCCTCCTCCTCCTCCTCCTCCTCCTCCCCCGCCTCCTCATCGTCCCACTCCTCCGTCCAGGTAAGAAGGGCAGAGGAACTGAGAGACAGGAAGGGCAGAGAACGAGAGAGGGGGAGAGCGACAGGAAGCAGAGAAAGGAACGGGAAAGAGAAAGAAGAGGGACGGAGAAGAGAGGCGCGCGCGAGGACGAGAAACGAACGACGAAGACGACGACCGCCCCCCCTCCCCCTGCGCGAGCCACGCGGACCGCAGCCGCTCCACCGAGGCCCGAAGCAGTCACCATCCGCCCGAGCGCCGAGGACGCCGCCGCGCTCGAGCAGCACGCCCACGCTGCTGGCGGGGCGAGCGAGGGGGCTGCGAGCGGAGCCCTGCGTGGGCGGACCTCTCCGGCGCTCTCCTCCAGCTTGTGCTCGTGTTACTCCTCCTCCTCCTCCTCCTCCTCCTCCACCTCCCTCCCTCCCTCCATCCCTCCCTGCATCCCTCCCTCCCTCCCTCCATTCATTCATCCTTCCTCCCCCCTCCTCCCATCCCCTCCTCCTCCTCCTCCTCCTCCTCCTCCTCCTCCTCCTCCTTCTCCTCCTTCTCCTCCTCCTCCTCCTCCTGCTCCTGCTCCTCCTCCTCCCACTCTTCCTCCTCTTCCTCCTCCTCTTCCTCCTCCTGCTCCTCCTCCTCCTCCTCCTGCCTCATCCTCCTCCTCCTCATCATCAGCAGCAGCATCTGCTTCTCATCATCAGCATCAGCATCATCATCATCATCATCATCATCATCATCATCATCATCATCATCATCATCATCACACCACCACCATCATCATCATCATCATCATCATCAGCATCATCATCATCGTCATTGTCATCGTCATCGTCATCATCGTCATCATCAGCATCATCATCATCATCATCATCATCATCATCATCATCATCATCATCATCATCATCATCATCATCATGCATCTGCATCTGCATCATCAGCATCATCATCAGCAGTATCATCATCAGCAGAAGCAGCAGCATCCTCATCATCAGCAGCAGCATCATCGTCATCATCAGCATCGTCGTCGTAATCATTGTCATAAGCATGAGCATCATCATCATATCATCATCCCTACGTTATTTGTTCCTCCTCCAACTCATCATCAGCACCATCATCATCAGCAGCACCAGCATCATCATCATCACCAGCATCAGCATCATCAGCAGCATCAGCATCATCAGCATCGTCATCATCAGCATTATCAGCATCATCATCGTCATCGTCATCATCATCATCATCATCATCATCATCATCATCATCATCATCAGTATCATCATCAACATCGTCGTCATCGTCCTCGTCCTCATCCCCCTCATCATCCTCATCATGAGCAGCAGCAGCAGCACCAGCAGCATCATCATCGCCATCATCGCCATCGTCAGCCTCATCATAAGCATCCTCATCAGCATCCTTACCAACCACCACCCCCATCATTATCATCATCATCATCAGCATCATCATCAGCACCATCATCATCAGCATCATCTTCATCACTAGCATCATCATCACCAGCATCAGCATCATATTTATCAGCATCGTCATCGTCATCGTCATGAGCATCGTCATCATCAGCAGTATCCATATCATCAGCAGCATCATCATCTGCAGCATCATCCTGATCGTCATCATCAGCATCAGCATTATCATCCTCATCATCCTCGTCCTCATCATCATCATCATCAGCAGCATCATCATGCTCATTTGCTCCTCCTCCACCTCTTCCCCCCTGCCTCCCCCTCCTCCTCGTCCTCGTCATCCTCGTCCTCCTCATCCTCCTCACCATGATAATGATCATCATCATCATCACCACCACAATCGTCATGATCATCATCATCGTCATCGTCATCAGCATCATCATCAGCAGCATCATCATCGTCATCAGCATCAGCATCAGCATCATCAGCAGCAGCAGCGTCGTCATCATAATCATATTTTGATCATCATGAGTGTTGTGATCAGCTTCATTGTTATTACTATGGTTATCCCTCCTCTCCGGCGTGAAGTAGCCACGGCGTCGGAGGTGTAGGTCTCGCCTCCCCTGGATGTGTTCGGCCGATTCATTTGGGGGGGGGGCTGGATCTCTTCGGGCCCCTGTATGCCTTCAGCAATGCGCCTCGTAGGAGGCCTTCTGGGGGCGCTGGGCTAGTCTCGAATGGCCCTCTTTGGCCCGAGCTACGGTCAAAGATCCCATGCCGCTGGCGCCCAGAGCAGAAAAGAGCTGCCGCGTTGTTTTCAGCCTGGGCCTCGAGAGGCCCGCTTCGGACCTTTGGGCTGCGGGGGCCCTCCGAAGACAGCCCCATGGGCGCGAAGTCCATGCAAAAGATGGGGTCGAGAGCTATGGCACCCCGCGCTTGCAGAAAGCAAGACGACGAAGGTCTGGGCACATTGCTTGCTCTGGGCACACTGGAGACGGGGAGTTTCCCAGAGTTCCAGGCCCTGGCACATTCCTTGCTCTGCACTTGCGACCGTGGCGCGGCCGTGTACGCCCTGCGCCGTTGCGAAGTGCTGTCGGGAGGAAGTCCTTAGCGATTGGCTCTCGCTGAGGTGCGTTGAGGGTGTAGGGCACGAACGGTGCCCTTTCCCCCGGCGTGCACCGCCTCTCAGGGAGTGTGACACGTGAGGGGGAAGTCCGCATCACCCTCTTCGCGACCAGCCGATTGGGGATACCGCAAGCGTCGGTTTAACATTGGCAGAGACGGAGCAACCCCTAGCACAGGTGATGGCTTGCCGCTCCGGTGCCTCGATCAAGACGAAAGTGCTGATGCGGGGTGGGTGGCCGCACCCATCACGATCGAGTCCTCGGGCTCCTCATGCCAGGGCTCCTCGCCCAACGCGCGTTTCGGCGCGACCTGCCCGCCTGGCCCCTGCGCGCTCGGCGATCCGACGGGCCCCCGGGCGGAGCAGGCCTGCGGGCAGGCGCGAAGCTCGCGCCCAGGCGAACGGCGCACGGCCACAGCTCGCCTGGGCTCTGGCGCCAGGCGGTCGGCCGACCGAGAGCCGTCGTGGAAGTTCGGCGGTGCGCTCGCCGAGCGAGACGGCCGCGGCGGCTGCGCCGAGGCTGCGGGCGCTGCTTCTCGCGACCAGCGGCCCGCGCTGGACGATGCCTCGTGTTCGCAGGCGCCGACGGCGCGAAGGCCACTCGCTCGCGCCCGCCCTGGCCTGGGGGCCGCAGCGCAACAAGGGTCTTGACTGCTTTAGTTCTCTCGTTTTGAAGCGCAACGCGTTCCGTGCTTGAAATGCCTGTGACAACACGTTGCGTGCCGTCTCTGCACGTGTTGGCCCACGCTTTGGCGAAGGTATGACGCCAGACTTCTACGCTTTCAAGATACGTGTTGAGCACCGTGTCAACACGCTACGGGTTGCGCATTGCGCATCGGGGCGGCTGAGGCGAGGGTGGCCCTACCCGTGCTGCCAGGGCTCGGCACCGTTCGCCCCGGGGCCAGCGACGCCCGCGGCGAGGTCGGGCCTCCCCGTGACCGGAGCGAGCCCCCCCCCCCCCCGGGGGCCTCCCGAGCGCCTCCGAGCAAATGCTCCGCCCCGGAAGCCTGGCCAGACATCTGCTGCGGCTGCGCCTCTCTTCTTCCGCCGCCGCAGTTTTCGAGCAAGGAATCGACTTCAGAATTGATTTACCCCAAAATTGATTGATTTACCCCAGAATCTATTTGTTCGTCGAATCCATGTAAAATTCGCAAGGAACTTTGGTAGATCTACGAAAATGCTTACGTATTCGTCTACAGGTTCAACATCAAAACTAATTCTGGGTTAAATCAATTATGTCGTCGATCTCCTACAATCAACCCACATAGTATGGATGGACAACCTTCCCAAGGGTACCCTTGCATCCTTGCATCCTAGGTCCATCCTTGGCCACTTTCGCTGGCCGCGCCCCGCTCGAAAAGCTTCGAAATGGCTCTCCAAGGCACTTGCAGCATTATCGCGCGTCCTTATGATACGGGTTGACTGTACTCGAAGTTTCGTCGAGGGCACGGTGCCGTCCCGCGCCTAAGTCGTCCTTGCGTTCCTCCGGGGCCGTCCCAGGCACGTTGCTCCACGCGCTGGGCTTGGCCTTCCGCCGTCCTCCGTGCGCGCCCTCGGAAGGGGGGGACTCGGAGTCGAGTCTGATTTCTCTTGGCTTCCCTTTGGGTCGCCACATCCTCCTCCTCCTCCTCCTCCTCCTCCTCCTCCTCCTCCTCCTCCTCCTCCTCCTCCTCCTCCTCCTCCTCCTCCTACACCTCCTCCTCCTCCTCCTCCTCCCCCTCCTCCTCCTCCTCCTCCTCCTCCACTCTTATTCCTTATGAATAACTTCCCCCGATCGCACCCCGAGGCCAGTTTTTAGGCTTGGCCAGGCGTTTCGCTTGAGACTTCCTCATCATTCGTGACCCTGGAGCTGAAAAGTTGACAACAATTTCACAAATGTACGGCGGGTCATTTTCAAAATGTGGCTCTCGCCTTAGCGCCGCGCACATTCGTCTAAAAACAACGCAAAAGCTTCACAGATGGAGGGCGGGTCGTCTTCAAAATGTGGCTCTCGCCCTAGCGCCGCGCACATTCGTTCAAAAAACTTACAAGAGATTTCACAGTTGGAGGACGAGTCGTTTTCAAAATGTGGCTCTCGCCTAAACGCCGCGCGCATTTGTTTGAAAAGCGTGCAAGAGCTTCACGGACTGAAGGCAGGTGGTTTTCAAAATGTGGCTCTCGCCTTAGCGCCGCGCACATTCGTTCAAAATTTACAAGAGATTTCACAGATGGAGGACGAGTCGTTTTCAAAATGTGGCTCTCGCCTAAACGTCGCGCGCATTTGTTTGAAAAGCGTGCAAAAGCTTCACGGACTGAAGGCAGGTGGTTTTCAAAATGTGGTTCTCGCCTGAGCGCCGCGCACATTCGTTTCAAACATCTGCAAGAGTTTCACAGATGGAGGGCGGGTCGTTTGCAAAATGTGGCTCTCGCCTGAGCGCCGCGCACATTCGCTTTTTTTTTGAATTTGCAAGAGTTCCACGGATTCCCATGATCAACGTACCAGAATCTGCGTTTTGGAAGGATTCAGGATCATGAGGATCCAAAAGCTGCGTTGATTCGCGGCGTTGCAGTCCCAGGAATGGCGTCCTGGCACAATTCAGGATCGTCAAGACGCAACAGTAAGGTTGATCCATGGCGTTGGAATCCCGAGAACAATGTCTTGGCATGCTTCAGGGTCTTCAAACAGCTGTCTTCCAACGAGGCAGTTCCCTCAGTGGAAATGAACCGTTGTAGGGGCCTGCGATGAGGGAGTTTGGAGGGAGGGTGTATGCGAATATCGTTGATGA